TTTATAAAAACTCCTTCATCAGGCTAAAAGTTTCCATTTCTTTCCATCGAGTACTGAACTCTATAAAAGTATTCGATGGAAAGAAAGTCGACTAAACGGCGTTTAAACCATGGCCAGCCGTAGGACACAGACTGGCTATGGACTAAAGTTACGGTAGCTTTTTGAATCAATATTTCGTGTGATCATGATTTTTTTTTCTTAGCGTTGTAGATTCGAATACATGTGATAAAATTCGAACAAGAAGGGTCCGAATCACATGTAATAATGCAAGAAATATCGACCTTCGTTGTCTTAAAGGCTACTAGTACAGACAGACAAACAAGAAGACTTCATATCTTTAAGATTTTTGCATTTATTTAGCATCAGATAATACACTAATAATTCTAGTATATTGTTAAACAATAAAAATGTAAGCGATGAAAAATGTTCGCAGTGCGCATGTTTTTGACTTAAAATTATTAAAGGAATTTTATTTGGTGTTTCGGATTTATTGCAAAGTTCATTCGATTCGGGAAATATCTATAGGTAAAGAGAAACATCATAAAAAACAATTTGACTCAGTACAGTCTACTTGGTGCTCAACTCCTACGCATCTACACAGATTAAATGACATCCTCTCCCGAAATGAGAAAATGATTCCTGTTGATTCATTCTCCTTGGTCTTGTTTAAGGAAAAAGTTGATCGAAGAGTTACGTTAGCCACCTGTGGCATTTGCTACCATATATGTTTGTAGTAATACAGTGATTAGTATGAAAGTGTTTATGCAAGCCTCGTCCTTATGTTTGCTCACTGGAGCGCAATCAGGGGAAAGGTCTATGGAGCGTACATTATTACTTTACTTCCCTAGCCCCTTAGGAAGGCCTGATACTCAGGCTAGGCAGCCATTGATCTTACTGGCCGAGGTTTTACGCTATGGGAACCTTATATGGATGTGTCAGCGGTATTGATTGTTTTGTTAGAGCTTCCCGCTGATAGCAAGACTCGGCACCACCTCACCTTCAGAAAAGGTTTACCGCTGTCTCCAGCAGCAGATACTCACCGCTTAGCCAGGCATGCACTGTCACTCATTGCTACAGCACGTCCCTCGGTCTTCATCGCAACTATTGCAGAGGAGGTAAAAAAAATTATCAAACAGTTACCAGTTGCAGGGTTTAAAGTAATTCTTGGACAAGTCTTAGTTCGGTATGGCTCGTTTCTAATCGGTCAAGTTGTTTGAAAGCGATTTGTTGAAACTTATCGAAGATATATCTCGTGCAAAGTCGCAGAATTTTACAGACGTTTGTATGGTGGGGGCCAAGTTTGTGCCCCCCACCATACAATCGTCTGTAAAATTCTGCGACTTTGTGAAGCAATATCTTCGCTCACTTTTGACGTATCGCCTGTTTATTTGCTAAAATGTTCTTTTTTTCAAGGCGCTCTCTCCAGTAGTGACGATGGATATTCGCTTACTGGTCTTAATTAAAAGCTGAGAAAACCGTCGAAGGGTTTGTTACCGATTAAGAAAGCCGGCGCGTTTCAGTGAACAAGAAAATTCCGAGAGATCCATGCATTTATACTTTGCCTTGGTTTGTCCTAATTTTCGAGAGCAGAAGGACAACCTCGCTTTGCAAGCAATTTAGGAATTTAATGGTTTGAGTTTCAAAAATTCGACTTTTTTCGAGTGTGTTTCAGAAGCTTTTTCCAGGAAATGTCAATTTGTTCTCGTTTATACATTTACAGTATTTTGATCGAATAGAAAGGGCCCTCATCTGGCAAGAAATATGACTAATCAGGTGAAAGTCCTACAGTTTTTTTATCGAAAGTGGTACCGTTCCCAGTAGATGGAAATCGGCAAATGTATGTGGTGTCTTCAAAAAAGGGAAAAAGTCTGATCCTTCAAACTACAGACCCATTTCTCTAACCTGCATAGCATCGACAATTCTTGAACACATTGTACATAGCCATGTGATGAAACATTTTGAACATTATAACATACTAACAGATTGTCAGCACGGCTTCAGACCAAAAAGATCTACAGAACTTCAATTAATACTTACTATTCATGACATTGCAAGTTCTCTACAACAAAACAAACCTATTCATGCTGCTGTGTTAGATTTTTCTAAAGCCTTTGATAAAGTCCCACATCAACGCTTACTAATGAAGCTGGAGCGTTACGGTATCCATGGAAACCTCTTTTCCTGGATGGAATCTTTCTCACTAAGAGGGTCCAAACTGTCATCTGTGAGGAAGCAACATCTACCTCTTCCCCAGTGACCTCGGGTGTACCACAAGGGTCAGTACTAGGCCCGCTGTTGTTCCTAACATACATTACTGACCTGCAAAACGGTCTAACCTCTACAGTCAAGCTGTTTGGCGATGACACTCTCTTGTAAGGAGTGGTGGTTGAAGACTCAGATTGCGACAATCTCCAAGACGTTCTCAACAAACTAGAAATCTGGCAACATGAGTGGCAGATGCAATTTAACCCTTCTAAATGCAACATCATCTGCATTTCAAATAAGCAAAGACCTCGTCAACGGACTTCCTTTTTTGTGGGTCCAAACTTGAACAAGTAGACTCTGCATCGTACCTAGGAATTACTGTTAAGAGTAAATTAAAGTGGTCTGAACACATCTCATCTATCTGAAGCAAGGCGAGTCGATCCTTGGGGTTGATCAAGAGAAATCTCTGGAACTGCCCCAGGAAAGTACGTGAAATGGCCTATACCAGCATCGTCCGACCCAAGCTGGAGTACGCAAGTGCCTCGTGGGACCCACACTACAAAAAAGATATTTCAACCTTGGAGAGAGTTCAAAGAAAGGCTGCTAGTTTTTGCCTTCAAAACTTCAACAAAACAGCAAGTGTGACAGACATGTTATCTGATCTGAAATGGGACACATTAGAAACAAGACGAAAAACAGATTGACTCTAATGTACAAACTTAGTCATAACCTAGTAGACATAAACACAGAAGAACACTTAATACCAAACAGTGAAATAAGAACACTCAACAGCCATGCTTTTAAGTATAGAATGCCAAAGTATCTAAGGACGTCTTTAAGTTTTCCTTCTTTCCTAGATCAACAACAGAGTGGAACTCACTGCCCGCTGACTTAGTAAATTGCAAGTCATTATCTGATTTTGAGTTAAATTTAGGAAAGCACGTGAAATAAGTGAAGTAAATTATAATTATGAATTATCATTTATTTATTTTGTTATTTTATCAACTTAATAAATGTATAGATGTAGACAGTACCAACGTATAGCACTTTCTTTTTATCCGCTGCAGACTGGTTGGTCGCTGTTTGGCATGTTGGGATCGTCCCTTAAATGTGTGCGATCTTACACCACGGTTTCCCCGTCGCCGAAAATGTCTCCTGCTCTGTTGAAGCTTATACGGCTGGTGTGGATTAATCACAAGAATGTCATTCTACTTATGGCAGATGGGACGGAATACAAGTATACTGTTTAGGGGAAACGATTTATTATGTTCACAGACTAGGTCTTAAAACGCATGCCAGCAAGAGAGACTCGTTTTACACGAGAATTTGGGCAAATAGACACTGCAAAAGGACTGTATTCTGAAGGTGTTCCTCTGGTGAATTAAGTCACTGTGGACTCTGTATGGCTTTTATACAGTTTGGAGTACACTACTGATGGGAAAATACAAGTTTTGAAATAAATTACAATAAATTATGTGAATGAAACTCGTTTGTTGATTCCGTTTCAATGAACAGTACCGCTTTCGAAGGTAAAATGTTCCAGATTCTCATTGCTTTTCTTTTTCAGTCACCTCATATAACTATGTGATTTAAGTTATATGAACAGCTCAACCTGTTTTAGGATTCAGTTTACAGGAAAAGGGGTTTCCTTCTTCGCCGCGATTATTCCAACTCATTGCTTTGTCAAGTGTAGACGAACTCTCCTGACGGTCGAATTGCTAAGAAAAATATACATGATCATAATACGAAAGAAAATTTCATAGTGGCTTGTTTACGTTCTCCTTAAAACGTGAAACTAAATCATGTTTTGCGGAAGGATCAATGTAATGAAGCACACATCATTTTCACCGTTAAAATTCTGAAAATACGACCTTTACTTGCACCAGAAGTTCTTCAGTTCAAGGGGGGGGGGGGGGGGGGGATTGGGTGGCTGTGTTTTGTTGTGAATAAAAGAGAGAACGATATCTCACGGTGGACGGAGAGAGTGTAGGAAGACCGAACCTGTTATACCCTTAGAATAATAGCAAAAAGGGGTTGTTTTGGCCGCGAATTGGTTACGAGGGGAGGGGGGGGGGGGGGGGGGGGAGATAGTAAGTAGCTGGAGTATGTGTTTTCTCTCAAAATACAGCTACCAAATAAAATAGTAAAAGTCGTAATTGACAGAGGTCTGTAATTTTATTTTATAAATACTTTGACGGGGTGTTTCTTCGTAAATATAGCTCTATAACCATTATAAATTTAATTAACTAATAATAATTACAAAATTTCTGATTTTTCTTTCCATAAGCTTAAGAAAATAGTCTCTGGTCATTTCTATTAAATTGCATGAAAACCTCTTTAGCATGTATAATCTCAATCTTCATGTCCTGTGACCTGCCGGGAAGTCAACACTAGGGAGTTTTAGCAACGACGACGGCGACGGCAGCGAGACCGTCAAAACAGCAATGGGTTAATTAAGCAAAACAACAGGTTTGAACGTGCATCACGCTTTTCTGTACATTTCTTAGCCGTTACTGCACGACTACGACGTGAAAATCCCTAATTTCACGTCTTATGGAGGACGTAAACAAGCGACGGCGAAAGTTTCTTTCTCTTTCTTAACTTGAATGCGGTCCCCAAGAAATCAACTCTAGAGAAATTTGCCTACTTTAGACATTTTCAGTGAATTGGAATAAACGCGAAACAGTTTGAAAAACGCCGATTCATTTTAAAAGTGACGTTTTAGCTGCCGTCGCCGTCGTCGACGCTAAAACTCCCTATTGTCAAATGCACAGTAGGAAGCTCTTCTCACAGGGTGAGATTTGCAAACTTTTTGTACACGTTTCAGTTGATACATGCACAAACTGTAGCTCCCTGATCAATCTGTTATACCAGTTATGTGCCTTCAGTATTATTTCCATTTCTCTGGGGTGTTTCACTGATTCAAAGCAATGTTCCACTGAATCAGATCGATGTGAATTATCCATGTTTACTTTGCTTGGGCTGCAAAAAAAGCAAGAGGACTGATAATAATCATAGGGGCAAGCTAATAATGTTGTTGTTTTTATCTGATGTTAATTTATGTATGTAAACTACAATGTAGAGAAGAAATAAAATCACACCTCAGTCATCAGAGTTATTTTCCATAAGGTAAGCCGTCTTAAGTGCATGCTCAACAAGTGTAAACAACTTTTTGGGCGAGACTTATTTACCTCATATCTTTTTAAACAGATGGTGACAAGGAAACAACTCAACCACAACCAGTTGCAAAAGTAGTTGAGACACTGTACTGTATTTTGGCTTAAATGGCGTGTTCATGATCTTGTGCTTGTGATCCCCCCTCCACCCCTTAGCAAAGTTGCTAGCAATACACGACCATGCTCAAAACTTCGAGGAACAACTTTGTATGGGAGGGAGGAGGGAGGTCAGTATTATACATTATCTCACGGTCTTGTGAATAGCAGCGATTTGAAGCAAGAAAGTTCGTTTTTTTGTCGGAACGTCTCAACATTTTTGCAACTGGTTGTACATGTAGCTTCAAATCCATGGCATTTCAGGATCAAATGTGTTAAAACTATTTTCAGTCAAATGACAAATATATTTGGATACCATCGCATCTTGAAAGTAGTTCAATGGTTTTGTGCTCCAGAAAACATTTGAAGGCACTACACGTTTTATGACTGTTTTTCTGTCAAAGATCCCAATTGAGGGCACTGTTTGAACAGAATCGACTGGCAAAGGGACAAGTCATAACCACTTGTTACTACAGTCCCAATGTTTATGTCAGCCAGATGGTGGTCTAGCCATTTGCAAAGCAAATTAAGGAAAAACCTCCGCACTCAGTAATCACTATCAGGGGCGTAACCAGGATCTTGCTTAGGAGGGTCGCACCACTAAGGAATGGTGCAACTGACTGGTGACGTAAATAAGTTTTAATACAGAATACCAGTTGTATCAGAAAGCCACACGTCATCTCAGGGGAGTTTGCATACGCCCTGCACTCTCCCCCTAGATCTGCCCCTGACCATGACCTGCCACTCTGTAGACTGTAACATCCAGCCCAGATCATACCACCGCATGCAGTTTTTAAAAGGCAGAGATTTTAAGAGTCTGACCTTTTCTTTATGCTTTTTGCTGGCTCTCCTTGAGCTGACGGAAACTCTTCTGTTGCCATACACTTTACGCGCTTCTTCCCTCTCCTCTGCTGTGATGGCATGGTCATCTAGCATAACCAAGCTTGGAAGATGGCTTATAACATAACACCTGCAAAAAAACAACAGGGTAGAATCACTCTTCTTTCATTGAGAAATAACCAGAAAATAAGCTTGCCCAAAGAGATGGAAGGCTGCCTTGCAAAAAAGAAAAAAAAATAGGTGACCCTTTACATAACATAACATAACATTAATTTTTATTAGCATTCCTATATACATAAATGGTATTGCTTTTAAACTACCGGAATTATAATTCTAATAATTTATAAAATAATCAAATAAATAGATAGTATTAAACAAAAGTAATAATTAGGAATCTCTATTTTCCATGCTTATGTTTCATGGAATACCATAAAATTCCGAAAATAAGCCCCTCCCTGTATAAGCCCAACTACAAGCTAGCCCAATCAATTTTGAAACGCAAATTTCCCTCCGCACATAAGCCCCTCGAAAAGGGCCTTTGAAAAATATAAGCCCCAGGGCTTATATTTAGAATTTTACGGTAAGTTTCTCGACGTTGAATTGCTTAATTCAGAGACATAGTAGCCAAGCTTTTTACACATATGGATCAATATTGTTAAAAGACATGAAAAGACTGCAGGAAAAGACAGCACAAAAGATGGTTTTCTATTGTTTGCTAGTCTACAAATAAAAGGGGGGCGGGGGCAGATAGAGACCATGTCAAGCAAAATTTTGTCTTGAAGGAAACAATGCTTAAAGGCACAGTAAACCCCTGAAAAAAAAAACCTCTGTCTGAAACCCAATGAATGTTTTTGTTAGACTACCATATCCATACCTCTATATCTGCCTGGATTTATGAAAACTCGGTCAGCAAACATTTTGTAGATTGTTTCAACTTCCCATGTCTTAGCTTGTTTACTGTGTTGTTTGCTTATGTCATTTTATTTTATTTTACTTTATTTTTTTTTGGAGGGGGGGGGGTGGGGCATTGTTTTGTGGTTAGGGATTTGTGTGAAAGTGGCCGTGGAGGGAATTTCATGAATTTGCATTCTTTCTACTCCCCACCCCCCTCCCCTCTCTCTTTCTGTCTCCTTCCCTAAAGGGTGGTTTTCTGTCCCTACCCAGAATTCTCTATTACAAGTGACAGTTATTTGAAATCAGTGCACCTAAAGCTGGTTTCGTAATTACCCATGGCACAATGTTGTGTGATGTGTGAAGGGGAAATTCTCACTGGTTACATTGTGAGCAATGACATTTTATAAACTGAAATTTGGTATTCCTACCCCTAAACTTTGTCACTCTCACAATAATTTGAGGAAAAAAATAAAGAAAAATAAATATTTTTTGACATTACCTGTAATCCTTGTATTGGTGATACGTGCCACCATTAAAATAACTTGGAGCTGCTTGATTGTTCATCATGCTGAAGTATTTCAGGTTTGGAAAGCACATGGCTACAGTCTCTATAAAAGCACTCAAATTTGTAATTTTATTGTGGTTTACCCACAAAATGTGAAGTGACCCAATTACAGGAAATTTAACGTGACTAGTGAGATTATTGTCATCCAGAATTAATGTATTCAGATTGTCAGTGTCTCTCAAAAACTTGAAGTCCCTATGATTCGTTATTAAGGAAAACAGGTGTTAAATGAAAAGGAATTAAAATGCCATACTACGAGAATGGAAAAAGGCAGACTCAAGCAAACGAGGAACAACATGGCCAGAACTTAACCCAGCTTCTGTTGCACCTAAGAGTACTGCTACATGTTCCTTCCCCTCAAATTGATGCTAGCTACCTAGTCCATGCAAAAATATCCCCAGAAAAGGGCTGTCATGGTGAGGGATGGGAATTTCCCCTGGCTGCTATGAAAATGAGCCTATTTGCATCTGCCTCGTCCCCAGTCGCTCGCAATCACTGGGGGAAATTTGAGTTAATTATTAGGGAAAGAGGGGACGAAGGGAGTTCCTTCCCATCACACCCCGTTCGTGCTCTACGCTCGTTCCCATCATCCATCTCTTGCGCTTCTCGCTTGTCTCGAGTGCTCACAAGTTCCCCAATCCCCACTTACACTTGGGAAAGCCACTGGAGGAGGCAGTATTTGCTTGGAAAATATAGGATAGGATTTGTGACAATTTCGTTGAAAAACAACATCCTTAAGTACTCACATAGAGGCTCAAGGGATGTCTGACTATTGCACATGTGAATCCCTTTATTAAACCCCCACCCCCTAGAATTACTAGCTTGGCTTTGAGTTCTGATAACCGAACATTTGAATTTCCTGCAATGATGTAACTAAGAGCGTCAACTCTTCAATTAAAAGTAATAATATTCTTGATCACAAATGACTAGCAATTTGAACAAAATCGCTCAAACCTCTGTGTAAGGATTTACTGACAGACTAGTATTTATTTAAAAAGGTAAAACAATGTGTGTAATGTTCTGAAAACTACCTTCCTACTCCTTAAGTCTTGAACTTCACAGATTTACACGACAATGTTAGCTTAAGGTGGCTGAACACAGTTTTGTGGGCGGTCTGCAGTAAATTGCGTGACGGTGCATGTTTTAAATTAGACAAACAAACATGGCAGCAAAAAAGCAGTGGTACACAGAAGACAATTTCTCAAAATCTACTCATTAAAATTTTGTGATATTTGGCAGAATTTTTACTTTTATCGTATTCTAAATAATGAGAACTTTAAAATGGAAGTTGAACAGACGAATTTTGTGACACATTTAATAATTACAGTACAATAATATATCACTGATTATCTAAAACCTGCCTGTTAAAATTTGGTCAAATAAGTTTCAAATGGTAATGATTAACTATAGTAAGCTGTGTGCAAGTCTATAGGAAAATCTAATGACCGAATTTTATGTAAACTGAGCGAAAGTGGAATTTTAGGTTGTATTCAATCGTTCATGCTGCCATGGAAACTACTAAAACTCAAATTTTACCTGGCAATCAAAATCTTTCATTAGTATATTTTTCACTTGCCAAGTTTCAGCTTGTAAGCTGCAACCTTTCCCTTGTCATGATTTGGCAAATGAATACACTCTCAAACTGCCAAAACTGTGTTCAGCCACCTTAAATTATTAACACCGGCCAGTCTGGGAGATTTCGGCACATCCCAATATATTTATTATGCATGCAGCAATCTTATACAGTCCCTATTTCATGCTATTTCAAATGAACAGAGTCGAAACATGTATGCATAATAAATAATTGGGGCTGAGCAGAAATCTTACTCTTTACAGACAGCGATTTAGTCTTCAATATCACTACAGGTAGAAACTGCACAAGGATACGACAACTTGTTGTGGCTCAAATCCAACGCTGTAATGTCACCGAAGCTCAACTTTTTGTGCCAGCCTTCGGGAAGTTCACTCAGATCTCGATAAGCTAGAGAAATTCTTCCAGGGTCGCTAGGATCAGGCCAACTTATTGAATTCATCGTAAAAAATTCGCTGTGGCATGCCACTTCACCGGTGTTTTACGCACGTCCGCACGTCTCGACTATAAGTTGCGTCACTCTTTTTTTTACACGGGTAGGGTTAGTATCAAATTTCTGAGTGTGCTAAAAATAACTTTAGCGCAAGTGATAGAGAAAAGCACATGATTTTAGGGAGTATTTAATACTTTTCTCATAAGCATTAACAGTCACGTTGTAAATTGATAAAATCTTCTTTCGGCAATTCTTCTGACAAGTTAACCCACCCTACCTCCTCTACCTTTTATTTTTTTCCAACTTCTTTTTATCTGAGCCCGCAATCATGACAATGAAGAAATAATTAACCGCCATTTTCAAAATGGCTACCGTAGATGAGCTAAAAAACGGTAAGAAAGTGCTGATTTATTTTGGCAGATTTCCCATTGTTCATCGGCTATTGAAGGCACAGATTTCCTTTATTATCTTTCTCATCAGTTTTAAAAGAAACTTTAGAAAACAGAGGCGTTCTTGGTCAAATTCGAGCTCGAATTCGAGCGGAAGTCTTCAGCGCATTGGATGATCAGGTTGGAAGCTATAAACTATAACAAGAGCCAGAGGAACATGAACATGAAGTACATGAAGTTAAGCTCTCATGAATTAAATAAGTGTTTTTGCTATTTATAGACTGAAGCAAGACCGACACTATCAAATGAGAATCTTCTCATTAATGAATTGATCAGAGAATACTTGACGTTCAACAAGTACAAATACACAGAATCTGTGCTTTTAGCAGGTACATTGAACACTTATGTTTTGTTTTTTGCGAGTTCATTTTTTTCTCCAAGTGACTGAATACTAATAGTGATAATTATAATAATAATACCCATCAAATTTTTTCCTATCCTAGAAAGCCTGGACTCTCATAAATCATAAACTAACCTAAAACCTGGACCAAATGTCTTAATTTTTTTCTTAAACTCTTCACTTCAAGTATACCCACCTTTTATTAGGCAGCCTAGGTCTCCCAAGTGCTTTAACTGTTGGAACACATTTCATTTTACAGTATTGTTCCATATGTTCTCTTCCCCACAGAAACAGGCCAGCCTAACGATCCAATGGACAGACAGTTTCTTGTTCAAGAGCTTAACATCACAGAAGACCAGACTGCATCACCTTCCATGTAAAGTGAAAAATGTTTCTTTTCTGAACACAATAAGTTGTTTCAAGACTGTCACTCGGCTCATTGCTATAATTCTCCCGCAAAGCTAAATGCTGTGAGAAAAATATTTTTTCTCCTTCTACATATTTGTTTGTGGAGGTGTGTGCGGCCGAGCGATTAACACCTCAAACTCTGGATCTGGAGGTCTAGGGTTCAAGCCACACCCTTCGGGTTGTTTCCTTAGACAAGGAACTTTACTCAACTTTGTCTCTCTCCACCCAGATGTAGAAATGGGTACCAGTGACAAACTGCTGAGGGGTAACCCTGCGATGGACTAGCATCCCATCCAGGGGGGAGTAGCATTACTCCTAGGCTTGCTTCTTGCTACGGAAACCGGAAATAAGCTCTGGCCGTGTGGGCCTTTGACTCGTGTGCGCCTTTACCTTACCTTAAAGTTTTACATATTTTGTAGAGAGCTCAATACTACCCTAATGAAATCCTCAGCATGTCCCATGTTTCCAGTTTAATGCAAAAACTGAGATTTTCTAGTTGCCCAAAGCCAAAGGCAAGTTACAATGGGACCCTGCTGGACCACATACTTATACCTGTGTTGAGATTCCAGGAAGAATCAATCCATCTTTCTTTCTCCCACTTTTTTCTCCTTCTCCTACATGTATGTTACCTTTACATTTTATCATTTTTACATATGATCACTCTAATGGACAAAGTTTTCTTGTAGGCCCCTTTTGTATGAGATGTTGGCTTATTTTCTCCAAGGGGGCCACAGGGAGGGAAGAAGATTGAGAGGTTTGAGAGATGAGTCGTTACAACCTCGTACTACAGGTAATATACTGTCATAAATACCTCAATCAGTGTCCCACGCGGCCTTAAGAAATGGGTTGTATAGAATTTCAAACATCTTGCTCAAACCCATAAGCATCCCAGCCCACACTAACTTATTAGACTTATTATGGGCTGGAATCCCCTTTTCCAAGTCCTTATAAGTTTAACACTGTTATGAAACTGCCACCATGACACTTAAACACTTGTCAAGAGAGGATGATGTCTAGCCCTAGGAATATGTGCATTTCACAAAAATCTTTTTAGTCCGATTAAACACTTACATTAATCATTACAATAATCCACATTTTTTGCTTTTTAATAATCGGGAATCAACATGACTTGATGCAAACATCCCATTCACATGTTGCAGCCAATGCCCAAAAATTCCCTTTCTGTCCCATTATTCTCTCTTGCACTCATACAACAGTGAACAAACAGTGAACATAGTCTATAGGTGCATTCCATAACGATGATCAGAATCAGTGATCCAAGATCACTCAGATTATAGCTCATCAAAGGAACTGACAAATCCACTGTGCGAAAAGGATTCAATGGTTCATAGTATACTATGCACTATGATCCTACTCAGTTAATTCTACGAACTATTTAGGAGTCCCAAACTCTGCACAGTGAACCTAAAATTGAAAAATTTCTTTTCCTTGTTCACAATTTTTTATTTTAATTGATATTTATAAGCACTGATTTGTACTATTAATTAATATTCTGTGTGAGTTTAAATAAAAACTGACCTGACTTGATCGTAGTGATCCCGGATTACTAATCCTGATCTGGATCATCTCAAAGGAATGTACATGTACCCTATATCTCCCACAGAGCCTGGAGTACCTTGGGCAATGGGGTGCCAATATAATCATCAAATGCCCCTCCCAAAGAAGAAAAGTCTTGACATAACATTTATTGGGATTATATTAAAAGAAATTCCTTTTGTTTTTCCTCTTAAGAGTAGTTCCCACCTCTTGAAGTACACATTTTCAAGTTGCATATCTGCATTATTGTTCTCTGTCTTCCCTCAATCAAAGTCTTGGTTTCATTTTTCTGCTTTCGAAGGTGATCTTTATCTGTAAATAATTATGTTTGCATCAAGCACTGCAACGTAGATACCCCTCAAAATAAATTATTATTTCTTCTTACCATTTTTTGTCTGTATTTTTTTTCTTTTAACAGAATTGCGACTAAGAAGACATCCAGATGGCTTGCTGCACACCCAGGACAGAGGTACTCTTTACTCTTTATTTTCACAGAAAATGACTGGTGCGTTTTGAACCTACATACTAGCATTCATTTCGTTTCCAAAACACAAGAAGGCAGGTGGTGTAATTTGCAGTTTTTACTCTTTCTTGTACCCTTATGTTCTCCCACCCCAGGAAATGACTGCTATGAAGGCTTGTGCTGAGAGCATCTTTTATTTTTTGAAAGGTTGATGGGTTGTCAGGACTCCTATTACAATCCTGGCACATGTATTGTCATTCTAGAGAACTACTTCCTTTCTTTTACATTTTGTAATGTTGACGTGCACAATATTATGTACACATCACGTGACCAGCATTAGAAAAAAAGAAAAGCTAAACTAATGGGGTTTATTTAGTGTGACTGATACAGGCTAGATGCATTGATTGTAGTAATGCAGGGGTGACACAGCCAGAGGAAGGTCAGGAAATAACAGTCTTTTAAAGGTCAAGAAACAGCCAGGGAAATTTTTGAAAAGTCAAGGAGCATCTTAAGAGGGACCCCTCCCTAAAAGCAACACCCACATGTAGACTGTGGTCAGTCCTCACTGCCCTCCAGTTATCTTCTTTGACTCTCTTTAATATGGACAGCTCTCAGCTCTAAGGTGGTCGTCACTTAGGCCCAGTTTAGACGCTGAACTTTTTATGAGCTGAACCTAACAAATTGAATTATGTACAGGAAATGTTCGGTGTCTGATTCGATAAGGAACGCCTATTTCAATTTTGAAACGGTTCAGTCGTTCTTCCCTCCTTGCCCGGGCCGGGAATTACAACTTTGGAACGACTTTGATTCAAAAGTCAAACTTTCCATACGNAGCATTAGAAAAAAAGAAAAGCTAAACTAATGGGGTTTATTTAGTGTGACTGATACAGGCTAGATGCATTGATTGTAGTAATGCAGGGGTGACACAGCCAGAGGAAGGTCAGGAAATAACAGTCTTTTAAAGGTCAAGAAACAGCCAGGGAAATTTTTGAAAAGTCAAGGAGCATCTTAAGAGGGACCCCTCCCTAAAAGCAACACCCACATGTAGACTGTGGTCAGTCCTCACTGCCCTCCAGTTATCTTCTTTGACTCTCTTTAATATGGACAGCTCTCAGCTCTAAGGTGGTCGTCACTTAGGCCCAGTTTAGACGCTGAACTTTTTATGAGCTGAACCTAACAAATTGAATTATGTACAGGAAATGTTCGGTGTCTGATTCGATAAGGAACGCCTATTTCAATTTTGAAACGGTTCAGTCGTTCTTCCCTCCTTGCCCGGGCCGGGAATTACAACTTTGGAACGACTTTGATTCAAAAGTCAAACTTTCCATACGCCGAACCTAATGCATAAATTGACATAACGTATTTGGCAAGAAGTTTAACTCAGAGAGCATTTTTCTCCTTTTAATTTTAATTCGGCTGGAAGTAAGATCGGTTTCTTAATCAATTAACCTGGTCTAAATAATTTGGGTCGGCTTTAATTCAAAGTGGGTGCGGTTCAGGAAAAGTCCGGCGTCTGTACCTGTCCTTAGAGCCTGTCACAATATAACCTGCTATCAGGCGGTCCTTCTTTCACGCTCCCCAGAAAAAAAAGAAAAGAACGACTGATCGCAGGTTAATCCCAGCGCTGCGACACTTCATTGTCAAGTTTAAGAGGGTTGACTGGGTGTATTCTATGTTCTTTTTTTTGTCGCTTGTCAAGTAGATGAAAGAAGACTTCATTCAAGCTTTGGTCATGATCCTGAACCTGTTATTGTACGAGGAGGGAGAAGATGAGGCCCGATAAATAATGCCCATTAAGACAAAAAAAGAGAAAGACTGGAGAAAACCAGCAAGTAGTAGGCAAGATTGTAGGATGTTCCGGAATTCTGTGAACTTTATTCCTTGCTTTCCTAAAAGCACCTATAACTTGCTATCACACTAGTAATAAAATGCTGTATATGTAGCAAGTAACACTCTTCGAGAAGTTTGTAACATTGGCTGAGAGTCAGTCTAAGAAGGAAAAGAAGGAATACCGTAGTAACTGAAGTTCATTCCAGTGCAACTGTTAAATTTAGTGGACCATCTCTCAGCCAACAACCAAGAAGTTTCATTTTATTTCAGCGGTGTTCAAGAACGCTTTAGTATGATAAAAAAGGGTGCCAAGTTTGAGAATGATATGTTAAAAATCAAAGAGGATATGGTTCAAGACATACTCTAGGGTCTTTTTTTTTTCGCGGGTGGAGGGATGCTTCGGTGTCGGCCAAAGATATTCTGGAAACCGCGCATGAAAAGTCTGTGTCACCCAGCGTGGGTTCCGCAAAGCTGTAGCTAAAGATTTTACAGACGAATGTGATTCATCACTTTGAAACTTGACAAGTTTACTTGTTGTAAGGCTCTGTTTCTTCTTTGGTTTTTTGCTTAATACTCCTTGTCAAAAGTTGGAAAAACCCTTTGAAGGGACTATATGTGATGTTTCTATCCTATGTCGAAACCTTTAGCAAATTTCAGCTACTGTTTATAAGAGAAAGGGTAGATCTTTTTTTTTTCATGGCAATAAATAGCTCTCATTCCATGCAGATTAATACGGCAATTTCAAGAGTACAAAAACAAAACCCAAACCGAAACCATCAATACACCCAAACGCTCAATTTGTGCATAAGAAGCCGCGTTGCACAGGTCTCCCATACAGCAGCTAAAGTCGCATTTCACAACATCTGGGCCTTCACATGTTGGATTACATGCTGTACATAGCTTGTTTGAAGTACATCTTTTACGGAAGAGTTTACTGGAGTAAGTGTTTTCTTCCTCCTTGCTCAGTTTTAGACATTCGTCGTATATGTGCGGGCACGTGTGTGCTTGCTGGTAAGACTCGCAGTGCGACCATGAAACATCGCTAGTGCATATGTAGCACTTCACGCCTGTGAAAGACACCAGAGACTAATTTATCTTATTCTAGTGTAAGATATGGTTATACACAGGTATTTTTAGGTCTGTATACCCTGGTTTGCTTTTACTTTTAATTAGCCTTCGCTGCAGACGCTACAACAAGTGGGCGCCCGGACACCCTGCTACTGCACGGCCACACTGAGACTATGGGCCTGTTTATGTGAGGTAAGCCAACCCGGTTAGCCGTGCCAGGGCTGGCTTGGATCATCAATCAATCAATCAATCAATCGTTTATTTATCCACGTAACGTCTAGTGAGCTAAAAAGCTCGTTCCATATACGTACGTGCTAACATAAAATTGTCGTATAATCTAGAGAATTAAAAATATATTACATATATACAACAACTAGATTTAACATAAAAACTAAAACGTACAACTGTAAATGTCGCTATATAAGAATTAAGATGGCTAAAAATTGCTTTGAAGACGTATGAATAGATAAAAGCATGTATTATTTCCTCATAAAATTTGTGTTGTGTTTACATGGAAAGGCTGACCCGCCTTCTCAAATAAACACAATGACAATTTTAAGAGAAAAGAGGGCAGGAGCCGAGACAGCCCGGTAAAGTGGGCCAGTCCGGCTAACCAGGCTGGCTCATCTCATATAAACAGGTCCCATAGATTTAGTGCGTTCTCGAGCACAAGACCTGATTCTTTTTTTATGATACGCGAAACGCCATCTCTCAAAAAACTCGGTGCGATTTTTGTGCCAGAAAGAAAATGCGATGCGACGATTTCATTCAAGTACTACACTCCGTACCGTATCGATTTTAGGCAGTTTTTTCAGCCTCATTTAGCTTGACTTTTCTGTTTACATTAATGTTTAGAGACAAAGTTAAAACGTTTCATTGATACTTTTTTTTCGATTAAATTTCTCAATATGATACCTTTGCAGATATCCCACTGTTCATCTCGATCAAAGTTGTCCGTGGTGGCGCACCAATAAGAAGTCGATGGACCTCCCCATATACAAGTGTCGTACTGTTTTCCTTCGTATGTAAAGGGGAACACGCAGCATTTATTTGACACCGTTCTTCTCGTTCTCCCACATGTAACAGCAGTGTCTCCACACCCTGAAATGAAAAGACAATACATAAATTTAAAGAAGTTGTGTCATGGCTCGCTGAGGGATAACGCTAGCAAAAGATAATGAAAGAAACTGCTTGTAAATGACAAAATTTTTCAGCGCTTCTTCAAAAAGAAAACATACTTTGTAAGCGTTATACCAAACGTTACAAACAACGAAAGTGCACTTTGAAAAACTGTTTAATAAGGCTACAAAAAAGTTTTCAAAACACACAATAGACCTCTTTAGCTCGTATGTTTTGTTTTTTAATAAAGGTCCCAGAGGAACTTGAACCCTTTGTTTCTTCATAAATTATGCTTAGATATGCACGCGAATAACACGAAATTTGAAAGAAACAGTTCTATTTAACAATTATTCCTAGAGCCCGAATGGGCTCTGAGTCAATAGCCCATGAGGCCGAATGGGCTATTGACTCAGAGGCCATGAGGGCGAGAGGAATAATTGTTTTAGTAAAATCCAACTAGTTAGTCAAAAATATCGAGAATAAAAAACGTTTAGCTAGTTAAAGCTAGAATTTAATCCTATTGTGCCGCCAAAAAGCTCGCGCTAGTGGGCTATAACATAAAGCCTAGTAGTAGCTCAATCAATCAGAACGCAGCATTGATAATAGACCACTAGTTGGATTTTACTAAAGAGGGTTATCACATGACCTGTATTGGGAAAACAAAACATACAAGCTAACGATCGAGGTCTACTGCAATCCGTTTCAATCTTTTCCGACTTTGGCCATCCGTACTTTCTTTTTTATTTGCTTTCAGTTGTTATTTTAATGTTTTGAGTGATTATTTAGTAACTCAATTTGGTGGCAGTTTCTACTGTTTGAATTTTCATAAATGTCCTCACACAGCTCCTTTAAAAGAAGACGGAAAGCAATTTTAACTGATGAATCAGTGCCTTATATCAAGAGCCATAGTAACCATTTTGGTTCTTGCTTATATCTGATTTTGTGCGAGTTATCAGCCGCACCAAAAGGTTAGACTCGGTCATGGAGGGGGTAGGCTATAAAGAGAAAATGTTATATCCGTCTGGCTGGTGTGAGAAAGCATTATTTTGCAACCGTCACATTTAACAGTTTAATTTCAAAGTTTTGCCGGGTGTTAAAGCCTGAATAAGAAATGCAGTGAAACTTACTTAATACGGTACTGTTTGCTCGTAAAAAGATAAATCTGGTGGTATATTAATGAGGGTTTTAGGTCTTTCAGGAAAGACTTATATAAGGGGGAGAGGTGTTGTTTAGTATTCATGAATGTAACGCAAAAGTAGAAATTTGCCAATGGTAGAGCATTTGAATTTGTGCGCAGTTTAATTTAAGACATGTACGACATTTTTACCTTTGAATGATCTTCATTTTAGCTTCCCCAGCAAAAGCAAAATTTTTACCAAGGAGTGAAAGACAAGAGAGAAACCATACGTCTTGGTGAATGTATTAAAACATTAACTGTGAATATTTATAACAACACTGACACGCTGTGAAATTATGGCGTACGTACCTTTTTGAAGAATTGTGAAGAATGATATTTCTAACAGCAGTGCGAACTTCATTCCGCGTTCTCTAATCTGCCCAAGTTGTCGGGTATTTACAGTGACGAGTTTCGCAACCGACAATTTAATGACTTATTAGTGCGACAATAAAATCACAATTCGAAGGGAGCAGAGTTTTCGTTTTACGGCTTAGACCGTTCACAGGGAGGTTGTTTCAATTTTCATTGGCGGTTAAAACACCGGGGCCAAAACTCCAACTCAACAGCATGAAATGCACTGCGCTCCGAACGGCGGAAATAGGTTAACGTATTTAGGCCTCTGAAATCGTAAAACGGCCTCTCATACAACACTTGTAAAAGTATTAGAATTTGCGTCAAAAATATAATTGCAAATATAATAATATGCTTATTTTACCTTCTTATTATCTTTAATACCTGCTGAGAAATATTTTCCCAATTATCGGGCAAAAGGGGGGTTTTAAAACCCCGCAAGAGAAGTTTAGTAGTTGATAACCCTGTCAGCTCTTGATTCCGGTATTAGAAATTAAGTTAAGAAGGAAAATATCTTAGACTAGTTATAATATATGAAGTGCAGGAATGTTACATCGAGGTTGTTATTTTTTCTGCTGTACATTTTAACGCGCCGCAGGATAGTTTTCTAACCAGTCGAATCGTGTTTAATACCTGCATCGATTTTCATAAATAATATATTACCGAATGCTTTAATTAATTTTTTGCCTTTTTAGGTGGTTTTTCAAAGCGTTTTCTTCGTGTTGATAATAAAGTCGCAGCAAATATTTATAAATGGCTTCAGGTTTGCGCGCATGTTTATTTTTGAATTCCGCATCAGATTCTGATTAGGGCTGTTGTCATGGAAAGCCGGGGTATCTCAATCTTTTGACGATTAAATATTTGGCTCTATATAATACTTGTTTTATATTTTAATGGCGCTTTAACCTAAGGAGCTTTTGTTCATCTCTTACACTGCGCGTTTCCTCTTGCCGCAGGTCTTTTTAATGCTTAATCTTAGTCCGACCTTCTAATTCTCGCTCTGCCCGCACAATAAACGTGGGACATAACACATTAACGCTCCTTTTTTTTTTTTTTCAAATGTGAAACCATTCAACCCTTATTACGTCAATTTGAATCTTTCATTTCACGTATCATGAAAGGCTCCCCCTTTATTCTTAGTTTAGAAGTCTTTGTACAACTTATACTATATGGACTATCCGCAATATACAGCTCCATGAAAGTCGAACTGTCAATCTACAGAATTACTCACGTCTAAATTATCAAAGCGCGTTTGAACATTGAACATTTTCGTTATTCTTATAATTATAAAGACTTAGATGCCTTCTCCCAGACTTCGGCCCGCAATGATGTATTATGTTTATGTATTATGTGGTAACCATCTACAGTAGTGCATTTGCTGTAAACTTGGTCCTTTAACATTGGTCCTAGTAATTTGTTCATCAGTTAGTTCTCATACCAATAATATTTGTAACATCAGTTGCCCATAAGAAATGAAAATAAATGGGAAGGACAGTCGCCCTTCTCTTAGCAAAAAAAAAACAGAGTGAGACTTTTCGCCTGGGCTATGCCATACCGGATTTGTCCTAGTGAGGACGAAAAAAGGTACCGGGCCATACCGCGGAGTTGATACGTGTGCTTCAGTGCTTAAATTGGTATCGTAATATAATTATTTACTTCATGGAGCTCAGTAAATGAAAATAATAATAATAATAATAATAATAATAATAATAAAAATAAAACAGACTGGCGATAAATTTGAAAACAAAAAGTCTTCTCAGAACTTCTGTCATTATTATTAATGGCATAGTGAGCAGACTAGGGGACCCGTTTCTCGAAAGGCCCGGTAAAATAACTTTTCGGGCCCGAAGGCAAATTTTAATCTCAAAACTTGTTCAAAAGTTGCACATTTCCTAGTCACAAACCACTCAATTTTGCTTCGTTAACTGCTGCTTACATTGTAGTATTTTCAAAATTATTGAAACTTTGATCGAGAATACAAACTCGACAAACATAAAACAGCTTTTCGGGCCCTGAAAGCTACCGGGACTTTTGGAGAAACGGGCCCCTCATCATGAGTCAGTGCTTAAAAAGGCAAATTAAAAAGTATATAATTTCCCGTTCTTCTGGCTGAACACTGCGGCGCGCGGCCAGACTGGTCATTTTGAAAATGAAATATCAGTTTTTTTTTTCTCGAAATTTTACTAAAACCCATCGCTGCTGTGCATGTCATTTAGGAGTAAACATCAGGCTGGATAGTCCTGATTAATAGTGGAATTCTCCTTACAAATGGACTTGCCTGGCCAGACAGTTCTAAACGCCCTATAAAAAGACTCCAAAATATATAAAAAAATTAGCAAGTCCACAGCGACAAACCAATGAGAGGTGCCTGATCTCCCAGTTGTCGACCTGGATCAGTACAATAACAACGTGTAGAAAAGAATAAAACAAACATATATATTTAAACAAATTTACTCAATATTTGGGTTTGAAAACAAACCTTCTTCAGGGGCCAAAAGAAAAATTAAAATAAAACTAAAAGTCCGTTATAAACATGATAAAAAGACACCGACCCATTCTTTCCCCCACGCGTCCCTCGCGCGTTTCGTGTGGCCACTCGTGTCAAAAGTAAAGTTGGTCAGCGGTTTTTGAAAGCTGCCATCACTCCAAATGGCGGCGTTGGACGCGAATTCTTTAACATTTTGAACCGCCATTTCACGGCTTAAAGTTTGTGCATGATGTTCAATGTACATTTTGACATCATAAATGGATATATAGGATTTATAACGTGTAAAAATGACAACGCTGGAACTCTACACTAAGGTGCCATTTGAGTTTTCGTGATTGTTGTTTTGTTGAACTCGAGTGCCTGGTGCAGACTTCGTGAAGTGAACACCGCCGGCGTTTCTTGTATTTTCAGGGTGCCAGAGTGTGGATTCCGCACAGTCAAGTGGTATGGATCGGTGGAGAAGTAACCAAAGATTTGAACACAGATGGAATCTTGGATATTGAACTTGATGACGGAAATGTTGGTTTAATGTTCCTCGATTATTTTATAAGCCTTCGCATCAATTTTGACAACTCGCAGTGAAGTGGTTTTGTTTGCAAATTTGCAAGCTTGAGTTTATTTGTTTTCTTCTCACAGGAAATTACTATTGATGTTTCGAAAGACATAAAGAAATTGCCTCCTCTGAGAAACCCTGAAGTTTTAGTCGGTGAAAATGACCTTACAACGCTCAGCTACCTTCATGAACCAGCAGGTCTGTACACGAAAAAAATATTAATCCATGTAAACTTAATTGTTTTTGTGTTAGTTGATGTATACAAACTCTTTGTGTGAATATAAATTGAAGTCTCCTTTTGTTGTAACCTTTTAAACAACACGTTAAATACTATGGGTATAAAATTTCTGTATTGTATTTTGTTATAAAGGTTATAGCTCAACTCGAAATCAAAGTTCTTTGTGGGGTTAGATTTAGCAATTCTTATTTTTTTTTTTTCAATTTTTTTTATTTCTTGCTTTCAGTGTTGTACAACCTCCAAGTCCGTTTTCTGCAATCCAATGATATATACACTTACTGCGGTAGGTATATATGTTTGCCCTTGGTTTTCTTGGTTGACCGTTTCCTTTTTGATATGCCCGGCTGTGTAGAAAATATGGGACCTAAAATTTTAATAACCTCAAAATGTCGTGAATTTATTGGTGCGATACTAATTGCCATCAAGGTTTGTATCTTTGTGTTTATTTTGCTGAAGGATCAACGCTCAGCCATGAAATAAGCATTATTTTTTGAAAGGAAAATTGCCGTACATTCGTTTAAAAACCACCGTGTTGTTATTGTTTTGTATTGATTTTTTTTATAGAAAAGGTCCCTTTTGTTTTGCTTTTGAATTTGTTTGCCTCAGGCAATCTGTAAAGAGCGTCAAATCTTAAAACAATTTTAAGATGCAAATTTCTTCTCCCGAATTGAATAATTTAGTTGGTATCTGTCATAGGAAAGTACTGGAACACTTTTTTCAGCATCCTATCCATTTTCTTCTAAAATAAGGGAAGAACAATGATAGACTGACATGTATTGAAATAAATTCAAGTTTAATGAACTATAACTGTATTTATTGATTATGATGTTTCTGGTTCTGTGATTTTATAAATTCAAACTGAATAAAACAAGATACACCTAAAACTACTCCTATTATTCTGCTCTACAAACCATATTGGTTGAACGTTGATTACTGTAGTTTATTAACAAAACATGCAAATTGATGGTTTAAAGGTATTTCCTCATATTTCACAAAATATTCAAAGAATTTTTGTTGGCAGTTTCAGATTGAGTCGGTGGCAATAAATATTGATTCCTTACTTCTGTATTCCAGCCTAGCTATAACCAAATCCTTTTTCAAATTTGTTTCTAGCAGGAAATCTTTTTTGATGCCTGATCTTGAGAAAATTTTTGAGAAAAAGGGTTCTTGTCAGAATCAAAAGTTGATGTATTTGCACAGAAAGAAAAAAATTCACTGTGAAATAAGGGGCTTTAGAGAATAACACAATGACATGTATATTATCAAATATTACCAAAATTTTATCTTTGCTGCACTTACTTAAAGAAATGCCATCAAGCCCATTTAAAGGTCTTATACATGTATTTTATAAATATTGTCTTCAATCATCTCAATATACCCTTAGTAAATACAATAATTATCTGAATCAAAACTGAAATGGTTTATAGTCAGCACTAAAGATCACAATATGGTATTAATGTAGACAAACATCTAGTGGCCAAAGGTAATATTATTATGGACTGACCACTTATAAAAAACCTTAAAACAGAAGTTTTAATAACAAATAATTTATTTCTCTTTCGTGGAGGTAGAAAGAAATAGAATAAAATATATTTTGTGATTTTTTTGGGAATCACCCGTCTTAATCTGATCTGCTCAAAATACCACAGGATTTAACCAGCTAATTCACTCTGTATTTATGGTTAAATTGTTGTATAGGTATTGTGCTGGTTGCTATCAACCCTTATCAGCAGCTGCCTTTGTATGGCCCAGATATTATTGCCGCCTACAGTGGCCAGTCCATGGGTGATATGGACCCTCATATCTTTGCTGTGGCTGAAGATGCTTTCAGAGCCATGTCAAGGTGAGAAAATGATGAGGTCTTCAACTCCTTTATTTAAGTTGATCTGGTTACCGTAATACGCCTCATCCTTCTCCTTTTTAGAATAATACACATGTCAGGAACCCCATAAATGCACATAAAATCCTGGTCTTGACAATGAGGTTTTTGTATTAATGAGGGTTTGAGAAAGAAGACAATGGAGTATTTTTATGGTTTGGCCAAAACAGTGGTAAAAAAAGACAATGAATTATTTTGTTTTATAAACACCAATGAAATACCAGGAGAGCTTTCATGCGAAAACAGGCTAACTTTACGTGTGAAAAGATCACAGTTGCTATTGCTACATAATAAATCACACCTTTCATAGCAAAAAGCTATTAAAGTAAAACGGTTTGGTACATTGGTGTTTTTATAATAAAACTTTACATGGTTGCTTATTCTCATGATGAAGAATATTTTACTTGTTAACTGCACTCTCTTGTGAAATATTATTCACCACTCGAAGGGAAATTTCGTATCTCCACGAGGACATGTAATATCCTCTATATATTTAAACAGGATGGTTATCAAGCAGGGTTCCACTGTAGCAGTTTTTTTTTGAAGGAGGGCATTTATGTACTTGACCCTGCTAGCAGAACCTTTCTTTCACTAGCTTGTTTTTGGCATACTTACCAAAGACTCTACATGAATTGAGTAAGACCTTTGTGGAGCTTGTGCTGCTTGTTGTAGCCTGCAGAGAACTTGCCGGTGTTTTTAGGTAAGGGAGAAATTGTGAGGACGCGCGAGGGGAGAAAAAGAAACGAGGCACCTGCCTCGGAGACCCTGGTTTTCCATTTACTCCCCCAAAATAACATGACAACATTGCATGCATCAACTGACAAAAAATTGATTGAAAGCAGATTGTCTAATGACATGGAACCAACCTCAGACCCAGAGCGAAATTTTGGTTATATTTTCATAAAGTAAACAATGTACATTGTAATGTTGACAAAAAGGCCATCTTAAGTCCTGTCCAGGCTTTTGTCAACAAAAGACATTGTTCATAAATTAATGATAGCAATTGTAATGAAATTTATAAATCTTTTGCCCATTGCCACTTCGCTTTACGCTCACAATGGTATACAATGTACATTCCTTGCTGTATTTCTTTTATACAGTCCAGTTTTTCTTTTGAGTCTCACAGTGACATTCCCTTGGAAGTTACCTCAGCTGCTTGATCCTGCCAAGAGTTCTTTAACAATCTTTGTCTATCATGCTACAGTCAATGCCTCCATTATCTACTCTCTCAAATTGATGTCCATTTTTCCTTGTACCTATTTAGAGATGGGTTAAACCAGTCAATCATTGTGAGTGGTGAGAGTGGTGCAGGAAAGACAGTCAGTGCTAAGTATGCCATGAGGTATTTTGCATCTGTGGGTGGAGCTTCTACAGAGACACAGGTTGAAAAGAAAGTCTTAGCTTCAAACCCTATCATGGAGGTGGGGCCGCTGTTTTATTTATGATTGTTATTTTATTATCTTTTCATCGTTAATTGCATTTAAGTTATCTTACAGGTTTTTATAGCTACCCAGCGGCATTTGTAATACATCATATTGTACAAATAGGCCCACAGCGGTGTTTTTTTTATTTTTTTATTTTTGCCCATTTTTTTTCAAGGGTGGTGCTTCTTAAGTTCTCTCTTCAATGAATGAGTTGAACCTTCAACATTTGAAATTAATATGAGTAAAGACACTCTACAAGACAGTGGAGTGAAACTGAATTGTCTTAAAAAGAAACTGTTCTCCCAAAGTATTGCCTAAGTGTTGTTTAAGCTGTAGAAATGTTTAAGATAGGGAATAAGGAGCTGGGGGTAGAGTACCATAAACGTCTGGCTTATACAACTTTGTAAGTGTTTTAGATGGATTTATAGACAGGGGGCTTATACCCAGGTGGGGTTATAAAAACAAGCTACATAGCAGTGCTCAGGGTGTTCATTAGGTGTCAGAGATTGGAGAAGTCTCCGTTTAGTACACAGAATTCTCCGGCTAACATGCGATAGGCTATGACTATTTTTCATTCAGGCATTCACAGTATTCTCCTTCCTCCTGCTACCGGAATTCTTAATCATGAAAACCCTGAGTGCTGTTCAAAATACTTTTTAAATTTGCTTGCTTTTTTAACATGTAAGCCTCAAAACGTCGTCAAAAATTGAACTCATTACAGTACAAGCTAGAGGGGGCTTATAACCAGATGTAATTATTTCTTTTGTTTACAGGTAGGTGGGCCTATAACTGGGGTGACGGGAGGGGGGTGAGGAGCTTATAAGCAGAAGTTTATTGTATTTTGCTTGTTTGGCTGGCTGTTGGGTAATTGGGTGTGATAAGACCTTGAACCAAAATATCTCTTCTGACTTGTGAATGCTACATGTATTGGCTTTGTTTTCTAACATCTAATTCAGGCCATTGGGAATGCAAAGACAATTCGAAATGACAACAGCAGCAGATTTGGAAAATACCTGGAGATATCGTTTGACAAGAACCACCACATAACTGGTGCCCACATGAGGACATACTTGTTGGAAAAATCACGTGTTGTATTTCAAGCACCAGACGAAAGAAACTATCACATCTTCTATCAGATGTGTGCTGCTTGTGACACTCCAGAGCTCAAAGATCTCAGACTTGGTATGTTGATCTGTTGGTTAACGTTGATTGAAAATCAGTGATCAGCATTACAATATGAAAACAATAATTATATTATTTCTGGTAAAATTTCACACAACAATAATTTATTATCATGTTAAACTAATCAACAAAGATAAGCTTGAGGGAGGTTCCCAAAAAGTTGATGGAGCCAAGAACCGAAGCCAAGAGCAATGCAAAACCATGACAACCGTGTAAGTGGCAACCACCAAGCACCATCACACTGCTAACCGCTGGAACCTAAAATACTTCAAACACCCTGTATTTAACAAAATGGAGGACAACTAGGGAGCAGTAAAGCAACTAGGGAGCAGTACAAGCACAAGCCATGACAGACAACGACACATGAACGTAATGGTCTGACCTGAATAGAAAGGTTGAAAAGATGCATGAAACCCTGCAAAAAAATAGCTCATATCTCTACTTTAGACTGCTGGCCTGCAATGTCTCTAGTTTAACTTAGCCAAAACTTCATTTAGCCACATTAATGTTGTAAAATTAGTTGTACAGTATGGCTCAAAAGTAAGTTACCACCCTCTCGCGAGACGGGAATCGCATTGCACACTATGTGATTCCTGTATTGCAGAATGCCATTCAAAAGGCCATGCCTTAGGATTTACTTGAGACTCTTTAGAACCAAAAATAGTCATGTCCCTTGGGACAAGTTGTCATGCATTTAATATGTGGATATATATATAACTTGCTCATTTTTTTTTTCGTGTATAGTTTGCGTGATTGTGGTAATTTGTTTTGCCTTCTCTATAGCACACCAGGACAACTTCTACTTCCTCAATCAAGGAGAGTGTCCATATGTTGATGAGGTTGATGATGTTGAAGGATTTGAGGAGATGCGTGAGGCCATGGACCTTGTGGGAATTATGGAAGATCAACAACTCATGATATTCAGGATTTTAGCTGGTATTTTGCATATTGGGAACATTGATATTCACCCATCTGGAGAAGAAGAGAGTGAAATTGATGTGAGGCATATTCATTTGTTTGTTATTAGTGAGAAATGCTATACATCTACATGTAGGAATGGCAAAAAATTGTNATATTCAGGATTTTAGCTGGTATTTTGCATATTGGGAACATTGATATTCACCCATCTGGAGAAGAAGAGAGTGAAATTGATGTGAGGCATATTCATTTGTTTGTTATTAGTGAGAAATGCTATACATCTACATGTAGGAATGGCAAAAAATTGTGATTACACCCCCTTGTCTGGCAAGGCTCGAAATAATATCCGGAGAGCCTTCAGACACGATGACCGGCCAAATTCATTTTAGCTCGGTCACTTATCGTTTCTGGCCGGTCAAATTTATGAGATAAATAACTCTTAAAACAAGGGGCCATGAACCAAAACTGGCGTTATATATTTCCAAAAAACAGCTATGGGTTCAGATATTTCGCAGGTCGAGGGGCGGGGCCGCGAAATTTGTTAGAAATCTTATCTAATACATGTCGATACAACATATTTGAAACTTATCTCGGTCATTGGGGCTGTTAATTGCCGTCAACTTCATCTCCACAACGAGCGAACAACGTTCCAAAACTACCAGGCATAAGTTATGTTGGGAACAACTGGGCACTACTCATGATGTTTTAAAAAGCTTTGCCATTGGCTCATTTCTCGAGTGCTTTGTAGTTAAAATAGCAAGTGATTATCTCTGTTAAAAAACTTTAAACACGCTCGTCAAATCAGCGCAAAATCGATCTATTTCTAGCGAAATTTGTCCAGAAAATTCCCACGAAATCGGCCGTTTTTATCTATTGTTTTTCGGCGAAGTTAGTCCCGAAAATTTCCGCGAAATTCCTGCGATATATCAGCCGATTTTTCTGCGAATGTCTCTAAAAATCCCGCGAAACTTGACTTTTTTCTCCGCGACCGACCAGACGCCCTGAAGTTGTTGTTTAACTCATAAAAGTGAAAATATTTTTACCGACCGAAAGCGCGTGAACCCTAATGTCTGTTTCAATGCGCAAATTGTAAACAATGGTTCTAGTTGTATTTCACCCAGGATTTCTGATCAACGTTTTGCAATGCACAGCGACTCGCTACATACTGATAACAATTGAAACTTCAATACGATCGATTGTGACCGGTCAACATGACCGGCAAGACGAAAAGTTGACTGGTCAACTCCCCAATCAGTCCGGACATTGTCCGTTGACCGGCCGTTGTTTCGAGCCCTGTCTGGGGTTGTCATATTTTGTTTTGGGGGCAAATAGGGTTGGGGATTAACAACCTTCATGGGACACACCGATAGGGGTACACATTCTTGGTGACAGTCATTTGGTAACAAGGCATTCATGATTTGTGGTGCTGCCCTTTTTTGATGTGAGTGTTAATAACCCTTTTCTTGCACTTGGGTACAACCACATCCATTCATTTAAATTCATTAATGATATCCCATTTTGTAAGTTTATTTTTTTTCTTATTTTTAGTTATTACTATTTTATTTAGGACAAAGATGTCCATCTTGCAATTGCTGCAGACCTTCTGGGTGTTGATAGGGGTCAATTTAAGAAATGGATGTGCAATCGTAAGATTGTGACTGTGCAAGAAGTATTAATCAAACCACTCAATGTTGAAGAGGTAACTTATTTTACTTGCCAAATGTCTTTTCTAGATGCATACACTGCAGTATAATAATTATTATTTGTTGTGAGCTGGCCTGCCTTGTCTTCCTACAGTATAAATACTTCCAGTTAACCTAGGACTGACATAAAATTTAGAATCTAATGTACACTGTAACATTCACCCGTAAAGATCAACGTAAAAAATTCATTTGGAAATATCTTTTTTGGCTAGACCAGTGCCATGATTTGTAACAGTCAGGAAGCACTGTCATACTACGGCCATGTCTACATACATTATGGTGGCATGTTAGGTCTGGAAAGTCCTGGAAAGTGATTTTAAGATCATGGAAAGTTCTGAAAATCTGTTAACTCACAAGTTTTCTCTTTTTTCACAATTTTTTCAAGAAGTTTTCTGAAGCATTGTATCTGTATCTTCGTAAATTTTACTCTCTCTCTCTCTCTGCAACTGAAAATCTGTTTGAAAAGATTTTTTGTGGCTAAGGGAGTACTGGAAAAATCTGTCTTGAAACGTGGAAACTCCTTGAAAATGTTTTTAAATTGGGTGCAAAAAAACTGAAAATGGCCTAAACAATGTACAGGTGGTTACAAGGAAGTGATCTCAATAGATTGTGGCTCTCCCTGATAACCCTGTTTTAGGTTATACCCAATGTTCTTTCTTTTTAGGCCAATTTTGGAAGAGAAGCAATCAGCAAGCACATTTATTCTCAGCTTTTCAAGTGGATAGTTCACTGTATCAACAATTCTCTTACCACTAATGTCAAACAGCACTCTTTCCTTGGAATCCTGGACATCTATGGGTGAGTCTAAAATCATTAGAGCAGTTTCCAGTTGTTTTTTGTAAATCGAACTAAAAAAGTGATGGCTCTGACAAATAATTTACACTTACATATATCTGATCCTAAGAGTTGATTTCCAGTTATCGCATCATTTTTATCTGCATGCGTGCGTAAAATTTAAGTTTGCAAATAAAATACATGTAGAGGCAGCACATGAAAGGTCGCTTGTAAGGGTAAAAGTTGAACCTCACTCAACTTCTCATTTAAGGTCAGCACTTTTTATCTTGCCTCTATTTTATATATGTGATTAGAATTTTATGTACATTATATGCGTAGTCAAAAACGTGTCAGTGGAAATCAAGCTTAAGGGAAACATCTACATCTACAGTGGAAGCTGTCATAATTGGACACCTGAAAGGATACAAAAAGGGTGTCCATTACTAGAGCTGGCTGCTTACAAGAATGTTTCTCATCAGTGGCCAAGGATTAAATGACCACTTTTGGGAGTTAATTGCTCAACTATAAATAAACATTGGAAATGCAAAAAAACTGTTTGTTAGTGTTTGGCTATACTATTGTTCTGATAATGTTATAATTTAGCCACAAGCGTGGCATCCAAGTGGTGTTAAGTTTTGAGGTGTAACTGGACGTGTATGTGAAAAAAAAAGCACTGAAACTGATATGAATTCATTGTGATGAACAGCAATATGAAGTTGATATATTAAAATACAGTTTACATGGCCACTTATGTTTGCTAAAATCTAACTTGTAAATGCCAAAAGTGTCCACAGAATGCAGAGTTTGTATGTCAGTTGAAACAAGGTTTTGTGAAGGTGGCTGTAAGTAGAGATTTCCACTTACATGTGCAAGAGTGTCCATTAAGAGAATTTCCACTCAGCAGTTTTTCCCAAGAGTCTTTTGTTGATGTTTGGCAACATCAAGGTTCGTTTGCATCAAAAATCGTAGTTATCCCCTCCAAAGAATTTCCCTGATGGAGGCTGACTACAAATTCATAAAAACAAACTTCTCTATCTTCCTTCGTCTTATCAATGCTGATTTGTCACCAAAATTAACACCGGTGCTGTGATCGCTGGAAGTATATTGTGTTACAGATGTTGGCTCACTTGATTACTGGAATGCTTGATGCAAATACACCTGTTAATGCAGAGTAAAACACAAAGTTTTTAATCAATAAAGAATCAAAGACAGTTACTCAAGTTTCAGACAACCAGCCATTCCTACTTATGTTGGTCCTGTATGTACCATGTTTTCAAACAAAAGTTTAGTTAATTGCGGTTCAGTTACATGACAACTCATTCAATATGCTTGTATACCGTTTTGGCTAGCCTGTCTTCACCTCTTGACTACTTTCAACAAATCTGGCAGTCTTTTCCTGTAGTGTGTTGCATCTGATATTTCCTAAGGTTAAAAGCTTTACAAATTCGGTGAATGACTTTTATTTTCAGGTTTGAAACTTTTGAAGTGAACAGTTTCGAACAGTTTTGCATCAATTACGCAAATGAAAAGCTTCAGCAGCAGTTTACACAGGTAACTTATTTCTGTCTAACATGCATTAGTGACAAGAACCTCAATGCTTATTTAATAAGCATAAAGTTAATTTTTATTATCATTATTTTCATTATCATAACATTTTGATTATGATAATGTCCAATCACTATTATAGTCTAGTGCACCTCTGCAGCAGTTGAGTAGTAACTTACCAGAGAACAATCAGTATTACATGTACAGTGTACAACTCTGTACAATGCCATTATTATGAATCCTTATATGTAGCAATATCTGCATAATTTACCATCATCCTCATGAACATCCTGCTTGTTTTCATGACTCATCTTGTGGGTGTGACATTTGCTAAATTACCATTTGGAAGTAAAGAATCTTGCCCATTTCACAATATACATGTATTACAGGTATACTTAATTTTCTCCATTGCCTTTTTCAATAATATAAGTTTTATTCCACAACATTGAAAGAGGAAAGTTTACATAATACTCTACCTCACATCGGAAAGGCTAATTTAATCTAGATTCAGTTGTGCAAAAGTATAAAGTTAAATTTTAACGGACAAAAATAACTCAGACCTAAAGCATTAAAAGATACAGTGATATTGAGTTTTCCATGTATTGATTATAGCACGTCTTCAAACTGGAACAAGATGAGTATGTAAGAGAAGAAATTGAGTGGTCCTTCATCAACTTTTATGATAACCAGCCCTGTATTGAACTGATCGAGTCTAAGCTGGGAATCCTGGACTTGTTAGATGAGGAATGCAAGGTAAACAGTTTCATGGATTAACCTTTTAGTTAACACATAAACGAAGCCCATTTAAAATAGTAGGAATTCTGCAAATCTTTTTAAAACGCTTTTGCCCGTTTGACAATGAACAATTCCTTCTATCGGAATGATAGCAGCTAACCACGAACAGTTGGTCATTGAACCGTTCCAACTAAACTAGGCCATATCCAATGAAATCATAACGGTGGTGGGCCGTGATGTACGGACACAGTTACATGTAATACCGGAGACTATTTTGCAGATGAAAATAATTTACCTTTTACCCCTACATTTCGTAAGGGAATCCAAGACAGTCTTGGATTCTGGATTCCACAACTTGGATTCCTGATTACGGGTACTGGATTCTAGTCTTTGTCAGTGGAACATGGATTCTGGAATTCAATCGTAAGTGGGATTTCCGGTTTCTTGGGCTCAGTGTATTCTGTATTACAAATCCCAGGATTCCCTGGATTCCACAAGCAAAATTTTCCTGAATTCTACAAGCAAACATTTCCCAGAGTTCCTTACATGGGGCGATACATTGAGTGTTTGTGAATTGGGGCACCAGCGAAATAACATTGTTGTAGTGAATTTATGGCAGTGAACTGGCTGCCTGCGATTCTCACGCCGGTCATGCGCAATTTTCCTTTAAGACGCCTGATGTGTCTTTGATTGAATACGACCATATAAGGGGTGGCGTAGAAAAGCATTTTCCAGAATCTTTTAACGACCTCCGGAGTCAAACATAATTACGTGTTTTATCCCTGAGTAAAATACAGCCTTATTTTTGGGGGTTTAATTTGGCTTTCTTGATCAGGGCCAATAAAGTGCAATTACTTAGGGCTGATTTGGACCTAGGGGTTAAAATGAGTCCTAGCATGAGCTGGAATAGGCATTTGATGGGTCTGTTTTGCTTTAAATTGTGCTCAAATGGCACCAGGAGAGGCTGAATCAGACTTTGGCCTGCACGACTAAATTGGCACGTTAGGGCTTAAACATCTCTTTCATTTGCAGTGTATGTGAGTGTTATTTTTTTTAACTGTTATTTTTATTATTCGCTAGATGCCTAAAGGTTCTGACAGCTCATGGATTCAGAAGCTGTACAAGCAACACTTGAAAAAGCAGCATTTCAGTAAGCCACGCCTTTCCCAGACAGCTTTCATCGTGCATCACTTTGCAGATGATGTGGAGTATGAAGCCAACGGTTTCGTGGAAAAAAATCGCGATACTGTTAATCAAGAGCATTTGGCAATCCTTAAAGCCAGCGAGGTAAGAGCAGAATAGCGATGGCTAAGACCAAAAGTTCGTCCCTTCGGGGAAGTATCCTTGGCTGTTTCCCTTGACCAACGCAATGAAATGGCTGATGAAAATTATTTAAATTGATATGAACTGACTATTTTTCATTTAGCAACCTAGTGGCACTGAAATATAAATTCAGACTAAGTAGAAAAACACCTTAAAGACCTTCAATAAAGACCTTTAATTACTGTAAAATTAACCACTTTTTAAACATCTTTGAAAAGTAAACGAAAATTGACGTGTCGTACATTATCTTAAAAAGCCTTTAAATTTTATAGTATGTAAAGCTAGGTTAATAATATGACTTTAATAATAATGTTAATAATAATCTTAATGAGACCTCTAAACCGTGTTTGTTTCTCGTACAGTATGAGTTGGTGGCACAAGTTATAGAGTATACACAGCATGTAAGTACCTTGCGTTGAATGCAGGTTAAAGATCGTCTTTAAACGTCTTTGTTTTGACTGCTGACACTTTTACATTTAAACTGTATGAAGATTCATGGGAATCGGGTCTTCGCACGAATCATGATCACTAACTGAGCTAAAGCTGGAACGCAGGAGATAAATATGATGATGATATTTTTAAATGTTTTAGTTTCGCAGACCAGTTATACAATAAAATGATCAATATTTTGAATTTCACTTCAGTTATCTCTCTCAATTCGTTGCAATAAAGCCAATTAAGTGTCTTCCTTTTTCTTAAAAGATCGAAATTGTTATTCCTTAAAAAGTAGGAAATGTTAAATAATAGATATTAAAAACCTTTGGTTAGTTCATAGCCGGTAATTTGTAATGATAGTTGACATGAAGCAAAAAGCAGCTTTTTGGTTTGCAACTCAGACCCTAATTAAAAAAAGTCCACTGATCATTTCTCTGTAAATAGTAAACCTATTCAGTACCCTCTCTAAACTTCCGATAACTCCGAAAAAACCCTTAAACTGCGCCACGTAACCAAATAGCTTAAGAAAACTACTCTGCGCTTGTACATGGACTTTCGAAATAGCAACTGGAGGCAATGGCAATTCAGCATTGTCCAATGTTGGAATGGGGCGGTATTATGTAGGAGGCATTGGCAATTCAGCACTGTCCAACGTCGGAATGTGGTGGTTTTATGCTGGAGGCAATGCCAATTCAGCATTATCCAATGTTTGAATGGGCGGTATTATGCTGGAGGCAATGGCAATTCAGTATTGTCCAGTGTCGGAATGGGGCGGTATTATGCTGGTTGGTCGTCTGTGCGGAGTATAAACTGTGTGTTTTGTTACAGTATGAGATGGTAGGAGACTTGTTTACTGACAATGAAGCCCATCTGATGCCTCGCAAAAGAGCAGCCTCCAGAACAGGCAAAAATGCTGCTAAATCCAAGAGAAGTGTGGGATCTCAGGTTTGTATACTCTCACTTCATTAACTTGTTGTTTTCTTCTTTTAACTGTCACAGTTTGCAATCGCCTTTCTCATAAGTCTCAGTGGTAAATTCGCTATGCTATGAATTTTCAGACGTTATGTCCAAACTTTAAATGCAACTTCAGACTGGAAAGTGCACTATCCAATTTTGCCCGGTTGGTGAGAGTTCCGTTACAGTGCAAACGACGGAAACCACTAGGACTTTAAAACATGAAAATTGTGTCAACGATACACGTTTGTGCTCATGATCTGCTCTGCAAAGTTTCTGCTTTGCATAATATCATCTGTAGCATAGTTTCTTTTTCCGCCGCTCTTTCGCGTTCGCGGACTTTGACGTTGTGCTCTTTTTCTTCCAGACGACAGCTGCTAATCGATCCCTGTACTCGTATCAAAGTTCTTGTTTTCGGTTACAACCGTCCATAACAACTTTGTTTTCTCCTCTGCAGTTTCGAGAATCTTTGTCAAAACTAATGGGAACTCTAAACAGCACTGTGCCTCATTACATTCGCTGCATCAAACCTAACGACCGCAAAGCATCATTTGAGTTCAATCCGCAGCGAACTATTCAGCAACTGCGCGCATGCGGAGTACTGGAGACTGTACGAATCAGTGCCGCTGGGTACCCCTCTAGGTGGAGCTATCCAGAGTTCTTTAACCGTTACCGCATGCTGCTGAAATTTAAAGACATAAACAGAAAGAAGCCTCAAGCGACAATAAAGCTGTTATTGACCACTTTTATCAAGGTAATTCATCGATTCGATTGTTTCAGTTGAGATGAAGTATTCATACACTACCGCTCAAAAGTTACCACTTTCTCGTGAGACTCGAATCTCGTCGCGCGCTACGCGATTCTCGTAAGTAATATGACTAAAATTATTGCCCGTAGCGCGCGACGCGGCTCCTGTCGCGTGTGAGATCTTGTCGTCATTCTTTTGCTACTTTTCAGTTAAAAATATTGTTCTACGTGCAAAGTGAGATATTTGACCAGCCGTTTTTGAAGGGCTGCCGGTGATGTTGCTCTACTCTTCACTGGACTGTCTTTGGTGACTAATATCCGGCTTCAAAAGATTAAGCAACCTTTTTTCTTAAGTTATTCGTGTACCTCACAAACAAAATGTCACTGACAGTGTCTGGGTCTCCGAGGGTGGGCAAACGTTGGAAAAGTGAGATCGCGCGGAAGAACGTGAAGAGCCTCTAGCGTTTCCACGCGTGACCGATTTCACTCTTCCCACTCTTGAACATCTACTACACTGGGTATTAGAACATAGACAATCAATACTTAACCTGGCTTAACTATCCATCTGGTTAAGTATATTATTGGACGAAACGTTTTCATAGAAGGACGAATTTAAGTGGTAGAAGAAGCGGGGGAGGGGGAGCGGGCAGGGCATTAGATGATTGTATTGAAATTGACTGAGATGTAAGATTGTTAAGAGTTCTCTCTTTCGAAACGTCTTAAAATTCTCTTATTTTCTTAAAGGATCCCGACAAGTTTCAGATGGGTAAAACCAAGATCTTCTTTCGAGCTGGGCAAGTAAGTTGTGTCCGTACGTCTGTAATTACTTCGCGGGTTACGCATTTGTCTCATAAATTTACAAACGTGTTCCTTTTGGAGAATTCTTTTGATTCTGGTTTTCTTTTAGGTCGCCTATTTGGAGAAATTAAGAGCCGACAAGCTTCGGGACAGTTGTATAATGATCCAAAAGAATTTCCGTTGTTGGAGAGAGCACCGCCAATGTGGAGTATGAAGCCAACGGTTTCGTGGAAAAAAATCGCGATACTGTTAATCAAGAGCATTTGGCAATCCTTAAAGCCAGCGAGGTAAGAGCAGAATAGCGATGGCTAAGACCAAAAGTTCGTCCCTTCAGGGAAGTATCCTTGACTATTTCCCTTGATCAACGCGATAAAATGGCTGATGAAAATTATTGAAATTGATATAAACAGACAATTTTTCATTTAGCAACGTAGTGGCACTGAAATATAAATTCAGGCTAAGTAGAAAAACACCTTAAAGACCTTCAATAAAGACCTTTAATTACTTAATGAATTAACCGCTTTTTAAACATCTGTGAAAAGTAAACGAAAATTGACATGTCTTACATTATCATAAAAAAACCTTTAAATTTTATAGTATATAAAGCTAGGTTAATAATATGCCTGTAATAATAATGTTAATAATAATATTAACGAGACCTTTAAACAGTGTTTGTTTCTCGTACAGTATGAGTTGGTGGCACAAGTTATAGAGTATACACAGCATGTAAGTACTTTGCATGAAATGCAGGTTAAAGATCGTCTGTAAACGTCTTTGCTTTGACTGCTGATACGTTTACATCTAAACTGTATGAAGAATCATGTAAACAGGGTCTTCGCACGAATCCTGATCACTAACTGAGCTAAAGCTGGAACGCAGGAGATAATAATTATGATGATATTTTTTAAATGTTTTAGTTTCGCAGACCAGTTATACAATAAAATGATCAGTTTTTGGAATTTCACTTCAGCTATCTCTCTTAATTCGCTGCAATAAAGCCAATTAAGTATCTTCCTTTTTCTTAAAAGATCGAAATTGTTATTCCTTAACAGTAGGAAATGTTAAATAATAGGTACTAAAAACCCTTTGGTTAGTTCGTAGCCGGTAATTTGTAATAATAGTTGACGTGAAGCAAAAAACAGCTTTTTGGTTTACAACTCAGACCCTAATTTAAAAAAGTCCATTGATCATTTCTCTGTAAATAGTAAACCTATTCAGTACCCTCTCTAAACTTCCGATAACTCCGAAAAAACCCTTAAACTGCGCCACGTAACCAAATAGCTTAAGAAAACTACTCTGCGCTTGTACATGGACTTTCGAAACAGCAACTGGAGGCAATGGCAATTCAGCATTGTCCAATGTTGGAATGGGGCGGTATTATGTAGGAGGCATTGGCAATTCAGCACTGTCCAACGTCGGAATGTGGTGGTTTTATGCTGGAGGCAATGCCAATTCAGCATTATCCAATGTTTGAATGGGCGGTATTATGCTGGAGGCAATGGCAATTCAGTATTGTCCAGTGTCGGAATGGGGCGGT